ATAGTTATAATGTGCTCCGTTTATGCCCATTTATGTAATGATTTATCTGCTTTATGTGTGCGTCCTAGTAGAGTTGGATGACAATGAAAATGATGTCAGTATTGTTATTGGATGACAATGAAAGTGATGTCAGTATGTTATATCTTGTGTACATAATTCCATCAGTCTTCTTTGTCTCCATGGTAATTCCAACGATTGTCACAACACTCATTTCACTATTTTGAGCCCTATAATTTTTGTTCGGAGGATTACCCACATGATTAGGAGGAAATTGCTAGTGTTATCATGGGCGGGATAGTTGTAGTTCATCGATAAGTAGTATGGATCACACTTTAAAAAAAATGGAAAACGAGATGCTATGACAAATACTCGTTGCAGTGTCCCCATATTTATTAGATAGCATGTTAATCGTGTAGGCAAATACATTTTTTCACAGGAACTACGACATCAATGTTGGCAAAGAGATATACTTAGGTTTTTAGTTTATGGAAGTAAGCCATGATGGAAAAATCAACGACCATGGAAAATCTTTGTTTGAATCATATTGTAAGGTTGAATTGTGTGTGCATCTTTCTTATCACAATAATAGGCCTTTTAGGTGGGTCGGTATCATTTGGATCAAAGACTTGGGGATAGTGTCATATATCCATAATTTGTCAATGGAATCGAGTTAATTACATTGTGTTGTCGGTTTGTGTGGTTGTAGTAGACGTGTTATTTATGTGATAGTGGACGAAAGATATGAAGAGATTATTGAGGGATTGGATATATGGACCGATACTATAAAGATAAGAAGGTTTACATGAATGATGTATTCTTAATTTCTCATTATAATACTATAAATACAAGATACACGAGGCCATAGGCGAAGACTAAATGATGAGGAAAGGTCCTATCTAGGTAATACACAAAACATATACCAAAATATCGTCTAATGAACGAGACTCACATCCAAACTCAAATTTCTAGTCAAAACCTCAATGTTCTCCTCTTGTACTACTTATATCCTTTCAATTCTCCATGCGTATTTTTGCATTTCTTTTATGGTGTAAAGAAACGATAGGGGACCGTTATGAAGTTTATATTCCATAATCATAGAAAACCTGAATTATTAAAACCACCCCGTCAACATACCCCTTAATTTCCTTCTTTCATGAACCCATCCATATTTTTTTGTTGCTAAAAAGGTTAGCAGGTTTGGTCTTTGCAATATAACAAGACTACTCTTACAAACATTCATCCTTTTACAGCCACATCTCTTAACACTTACATTGTCGGTCATTCTTTGTCATAAATAACACCATTAAGATCTTTGTTATGCTTTTGAATCTTAGATTCTACATTGTCATTGCAATGTTTAAATGACAAGTTTGTATTCTTAATGTTACATAAATAAAAAAAATCATGGTCTTTTGGCTTGAAATTAAACATTATTATAACTAATAAAAAGCTTATGTTACATAAAATTTAGAGATAACTACAAATATGGTCTTTTGGTTAGTATTTTTTATATCGGAGTCCAAAAAGCTTCAGCTTGTAAAAATATTTTTTCAGTAGTGTTTAATTATAGTTTTGGTCCATGATTGTAATATTGTTACTTTTATTTTGTTAAACCACTATAAAGATACTATTTTGCCATTTGTTCTATAATTTATTAATTTATTAATATATTTTTTATTATCACATAAAGATTTTCCTTTTTACAGTCGCTTGAAACCTCTGTCCATCTCGTCTCTGGAGTAAGGGTGATCATTTGAACTTCTAGATTGGACCTGGACCGATGTTTTAGAGTAGGTCCGATTCTTGGTTCTTTGAATCATGCAAAATCGATCCAGGTACAAAATCGAATAGGTCTGGTCTAGGTCCATGTATGGTACAACGAGTATTTATTTTAAAGTAATAAATAAATTAACTTTGGTATGACTTCAACAAGTTGTATCATATGCAGCTAAAATTGACTAGTCCAACAAGTACAAGAACCGAAAAATCCGGACTTGGACCCAATAAGTTTCAATAGGTCCGGTCCATAGTCTACTAATTTCTTCCAAACCGGTTCGATCCAAAAACCGATTTCAGTCTGATCCAAATGGTCTCTCATAGGTTCTCTATTTTATGGCATAAGAAGAAAGGTTTTTATCGACATAGTAGCTCTTTGCTCTGTGGTCAAATAACTAAATAGAAGATTAATATTTAAATTAAATATTAACTTAAATCTTCCCATTTTAATTTCTTTCGTAAGGTTTTGTTGTATGAAATTTAGACAGAGACAAGAAAGGGATATTGCGGAGAGGAGGGATCTTCATCGAGTTGAGCCAGGTTTGATTTCATCTTCTCATAATTGGACCAGATTAAAATTGTAACCTAGAAAAGAACAAGTTCTTTTGAAAGATGAACTCGACTTTTGAAACAAAAACATGAGGTCTGTGAAATCATTCCGTTGAAGCCAACTATGAACCCCTTCCCCTTCCCCCTCCAATACCCCAAGTTTTTGACCAGATGGATGTTTTTAAAAAAACTTATTTACTCATTGGGTACAAATTTAATAGTATTTACGAAATAAGGTTATTTTTGTCATTTAATAAAACAAACAATAACCGTGTCCTAAAATATTTGTTTACTGAACGAGGGAAGACGCAAGCCGGAAATTGAACTCCATCTACGCACGACATCATCTTTGATTCGTCTCTCTCTCTCTCTCTCTCTACCAGACTACACCTCTGTCAATCCTCCAACCAACGATTCCCATCTCAGGTTTGAAATTGAACTTCATCCTTCGATTCTAATACTTTCATCTTTGTTTTCTGAATGGAATAGGTGCTGGTTATAGCAAGAAGATGACTCTAATTTCAAATTTTGGTGTAGAATTTTTTTTAGATTAGATTGCTTATGTTAAATTTATGAGAATGAATTTTGTCTACTGATTTCTGAAATTTGAATGAATTAATGTTTTATTTTTGATTGCTTGAATAAACAGAGGTGCTGATTATAACAAATAGAGGAATTTTTTTTTGAGCCGACAAACTAACCCACTCTTAAAACCATCTATGTTTCCTAATGAGACTAGAACCCATGACCTCTCATATTTGAGAGTGTCACTCCTTACCGTTAGGCCAAAATTGAGTTCTATTTTTGATTGCTTGAATTTCCTCATTCTGATTGTAGCATCCAATTTTGAAATGCCAACAGAGAAGCACAAAGCTGTTGAAGCTGTGAACACTTGAAACACACAGCAAACAGCAAATTGAAGCACAAAGCTGTTGAAGATTTTTGATAATCTGATTCATAGTTCTAATAATTTGTTGATAATTGATATAATAAAAAAAATGGCATTACAGCAAAATTTAAATTATGTTATACATGTCAAGAGATAGTAGTAAAGTCTAGTAATTTACGGAAAAGATTAGTAAACTACATTGACTCTTTGGTACTTCAAGATGGAATTATGTTTGATTTTCAGTCAGAATATTGTCAAAAAGCATTGCATTTGCATTTGTTTAATTTCATAAATGCATATTAGAATTATCTTTTGTTTGATATAACTTCCAAATAGAATTTTTTTATGATTTTTTTAAATGGCATATTGACTGTATGCTTTAGTTAATTTGATTGTATTATTTGTGTACTATGAATATGTTTTTTTTAAATGGCATATTGACTGTATGCTTTAAAAAAAATAAACTTAAGTTACAGTGAGATATTTGTGTACTATGAATATGTTTTTTTTTGGTCGTGTGAAAGAAAGAAAATTTGCCTCTTATTTACCTAGTGGGTAAATAAATTTTTTTAAAAACACTTATTTAGTTAAAAACTTCAATAGCCCAAACTCCTTGTGAGATCTAGTTTGGGACCCATCTAGTTTCTATAGTACATAAATGGCGCCTGTTATTGCTCCCCAGCACTTTTTTTCCCGTAAAAATTAAAATATCTTGCTGTATTTCTTACAATTTGTCCCCAAATGATATTTAGGGGGTTCAGTTGAATTTATAAAAACTAAAGGTACCTATGTTGAACATTTATCCTGAAAATTTGCTAATCTCAGTCCTACGCTCTTGGCAGTTGGCGACTTCCTCTCACGAACTCCTCCTCCCTTCACCTCGACGGACGGCGAGCAGATTTCGTATAAATCGATGATCTTCGTTTGATCCTGTGCTCTTCTTTTCATCTTCTGTAAGCCTTTTGTTCCACAATAGTTATAATTTGTTGTAGTTCGTTGAAAGTTTCAGATAATAGATTAATTGTTAATTGATAGTATTGTAGTGATACTTGTAAATTGATAAGTATAATGAACGTAATTGGAGATGAAATTCTACTTTCTGAAAGTCTATAATTGAGTCTTGTTTGTAACAAAAACGGTGAGTTGGATTATCTGCTATCATAGGTATAGAATCAAATTGCCATTGCACAGGGCTCCCTAAAAATAAAGGGCCCAAATTTTCTAACATCCGTATACATCTCTTGATCTGAAATATTGAGCGACAAATCTTAAAGCGGTAAAATGGTTATAGAAAAATAAGCAAAATGAGGGAAATAAGAAGGAGATAAGTAGACGAACTCCCTACTCCAAATCAAAATCTCGATTCTTGAGCTTCCAATCAGCAATCGCAAAAGCAGCTAAACATCATACACCAATCGGCAATCTGAAATAAGGTGTGAATTGATTTCTAGAATTTTGTATCGGCTTAGCCTGGGCAATCTTTTGATTGTGTTAATCGTTTCAGTCTATTTCATCATCTTCTTCCCCAATTCTTCCCTGTCTCCTTTTAGTTAACTGAACCCTAATTTCCAATCCTCATCAGTTTCATCAACTAACAGATTCACATTTCCGCATAACAAACATTTGTATGTGAATAATGTTGGATGTATTTATCTATGGATGTGGTACAAATAGGGAACACATAAATTTGGCATCATCCATGAAAACCATAACTACATGATGACGAAGCATTTCTTTTCTTTTTGAAGTTTTGATTTTGTCCCCTGGATACAGGGCTCTGGAGAAGATGGACTTAAGACAGGTATTTACTGTAGATCTTCTAGAAAGATATGCAGCAAAAGGTCATGGAGTTATTACTTGTATGGCATCTGGAAACGATGTCATTGTTCTAGGAACTAGTACTGGATGGCTAATCAGGCATGACTTTGGTGGTGGTGATTCTTATGGTAATCTCCTTAATCTTTTTTCTTTTATTGTTGCATATAAAGTTTTTGTTTTTCTGAAAAATACTAATGAGTATATATATATATATATATATATATATATATATATATTTGTATAGATACTGATCTCTCCACTGGTCGAGCTGGGGAGCAATCCATCCACAGAGTTTTTGTTGATCCTGGTGGGAGTCATTGTATAGCCACTGTTATTGGCACAGGAGGTTCTGATACATATTACATGCATGCAAAATGGTCAAAGCCCAGGGTTTTGGTCAAACTCAGGGGCCTTGTAGTCAATGCTGTTGCCTGGAACAGACAACAGATAACAGAAGGTGACTTCATATTTTAATCCTTTTTCTTTTTAAATGAATATTCATATCCCTCATCTGTTTCTTAAAACAGCTTCCACACGAGAGGTTATACTTGGCACACAAAATGGCCAACTTTATGAAATTGCTGTTGATGAGAAAGATAAGAGGGAGAAATACGTAAAATTTCTATTTGAGCTATCTGAATTCCCAGTGCCTTTCGAGGGTTTGCAGGTGTAATATATTCACTTCACTATTCTTTTAATCTTTTCTTTAAATCACAAGTCTTGTTCTTACTTTTCTTAATGTGTTGTCTATATATATAGATGGAAACAGCTAGCTCAAACAATGGAACTAGATACTATATTATGGCTGTAACTTCAACAAGACTTTATTCATTTACTGGTATTGGATTGCTTGAGGTAAGTCAACAACTCAACAGTCAACACTTGTGTTTTTAATCATAGAATAAAGTAACTTATTTATTTTCAACCTAGACAATCTTTGCAAGTTATGTAGAACGTGCAGTGCATTTTATGGAGCTTCCTGGAGAAATACCAAATAGGCAAGTGCTGTATACTCTATAGTCTATGTATATTCTTCTGTTCATACTCTTTTAACTAATATAAAATCTCTTCACCCATTTTGGTTATCATGTAGTGAGTTGCATTTCTTTATTAAGCAAAGAAGAGCAGTGCATTTTGCTTGGCTTTCTGGAGCTGGTATTTATCATGGTGGTCTCAATTTTGGAGCACAAAACAGGTGGAGTTCAAATGAAATGTTTATTAGTTAATAATTAAGCTGGAAATTTTGATGATGATTTTGAGTTTACTAATTGAAGTCTGTGTTGTTGAAACTTGAAATGATGATGAGAAGAACCCCAAATGGGGATATAAATTTTGTGGAGAACAAGGCTCTTTTGAGCTATTCAAAGTTAAGTGATGGTGGGGAAGTGGTTAAACCTAGTTCTATTGCACTTTCAGAATTCCACTTTTTGCTCCTAATTGGAAACAGGGTCAAAGTTGTAAATAGAATTAGTGAGCAAATTGTTGAAGAACTTCAGTTTGATCAAACTTCAGAGACAGCATCAAAAGGGATCATTGGGCTTTCTATTGATGCATCTGCTGGCTTGTTTTATGCATATGATGAAAACTCAATCTTTCAGGTTGACTTCCATTACACTTATATTATCATTCACCACATTTTTTCTTTTAATTCTGATTATTAATATCACTTCCAATAGGTGTCTGTAACTGATGAAGGGAGAGATATGTGGAAAGTGTATCTAGACCTGAAGGAATATGCTGCTGCTTTAGCAAATTGCTCTGATCCTTTCAAGAGAGACCAAGTATACTTAGTACAGGTCAGCAACTCTTCTATTTTTTTTTTATCTTTATAGATATTATTAGTTCTATTTACTTAGCTTAAAGTTAAACAATTTGTATTGTAGGCTGAAGCTGCTTTTTCATCAAAGGACTTCTTTAGAGCAGCATCATTTTTTGCTAAAGTGAGTGATTCTATACTCTAAACTCTAAACTCTAAACTCTAAAGCAATATTAGGGTATGTTAAGATTATCTGATTACTTAAGTAATTTTATTTCAGATAAACTATGCATTGTCATTTGAAGAGATTACATTGAAGTTTATAGGCATAGGGGAACAGGTAAATGTCATACTTTTTGTCTTTTCCATATAATTGAGTCTCATATTTTTATTTTTATTTTCCTTTCAGGATGCATTAAGGACATTTTTGTTGAGGAAGCTTGATAGTCTTGTGAAAGATGATAAATGTCAAATAATGATGATATCTACATGGGCCACTGAACTCTACCTCGACAAGGTTTTTTTTTTTGTAATTTAAATTCAATGGTTTATTTATTTCAAAATTTTAGTATAATATTTAATTTTGGATGTGATTGATGTATGAAATGCATATAAGATCAATAGACTACTACTGGAAGATGATTCGCCAGATAAGCGTAATTCAGAATACCAATCTATCATCATGGAATTTCGTGCTTTTCTCAGTGATAGTAAAGATGTGTTGGATGAAGCAACTACAATGACACTGCTTGAAAGGTTCATATTTCATTCATTTTCTTACTTGATTTTACAATTTCCATAACAAATGTATATATTTTCAGCTATGGTAGAGTTGATGAATTGGTATATTTCGCTAGTCTAAAAGAACAACACGAAATTGTCATTCATCACTACATTCAGGTTTTTCTTCAATTTATTCCAAAATTCAATACTTTTATCACACACACACACACACATACACACTGCTTTTTAAGTTTAACCAAGCTTTTGTTCCACTTGTGTAGCAAGGAGAAGCAAAGAGAGCATTAGATGTACTTCAAAAACCAGGTGTTTCTGTTGATCTTCAGGTAATGCAGAAAATCAATCATCTTTTGGAATATATAATGGTAATTTAATTTAATTCTTTTGTGTGTTGCAGTATAAATTTGCTCCAGATCTGATAATGCTTGATGCATATGAAACTGTTGAGTCATGGATGACAAGGAATGACTTGAATCCAAGAAAGCTTATTCCTGCAATGATGTCTTATTCAAGTGAACCCCATGCAAAGTAAGTCTACCATTTTAAATAAATAAAATACATTGCCTATATTGGTAAAAATTAATATTACCTCCAAAATATGCAGGAATGAAACCCATGAAGTAATTAAGTATTTGGAATATTGTGTGCACCGGTTGCAAAATGAAGATCCAGGTGTTCATAACCTCTTGCTCTCTCTATACGCAAAAAAGGTTCCTTCCTCGTCATTCTCCTATTACGTATTCATTTTATAACTAAAAAATAAAATAAAAAAAACAAATCCCATTATTCATTCAAATATTACATTCAGGAAGACGATAGCGCCCTTCTGCGATTCTTACAATGCAAATTTGGTAAAGGACGATCTAACGGCCCAGATTTCTTCTATGATCCTAAATACGCGTTGCGTCTTTGCCTCAAAGAAAAGCGTATGCGCGCATGTGTCCATATTTACAGCATGATGTTTATGCATGAAGAAGCTGTGGCACTTGCTCTTCAGGTAATATATATATATATATATATATATATATATATATATATATATATATATATATATATATAAAATTATATTGCGTAACATGTGTCTCATGTTTGACTTTTGTTGACCAAGGTTGACCCCGAGCTAGCCATGGCTGAAGCAGACAAAGTGGAAGACGATGAAGACTTGAGAAAGAAGCTTTGGCTTATGGTTGCCAAACATGTTGTTGAACAGGAAAAGGGCACAAAAAGAGAGAACATTCGAAAGGCAATTGCATTTTTAAAGGAAACCGATGGTTTGTTAAAGATTGAAGATATCTTACCTTTCTTTCCAGATTTCGCACTAATTGATGACTTCAAGGTAACAATTTTTATTTTATTTCATGCTACACAAATACGTTCACATAATAAAACAATTTTCTTTTTTATAAATATAGGAAGCGATTTGTTCGTCTTTAGAGGATTATAACCAGCAAATTGAGAAACTGAAAGAGGAGATGAACGATGCGACACATGGAGCAGATAATATAAGAAATGACATCAGTGCCCTTGCTCAAAGATATGCAGTTGTTGATCGCGATGAGGAATGCGGGGTAAGTAAATGTAATTGTTTTTCTTGAAATGAATATTTTTATTTTTATATTTGTTAGCAGAAAAAAAGAAAAAAAATCATGTTCATGTTTGCAATTTTTTGAATAGGTTTGTCGGAGGGTAATTTTGTCCGCAGGGGCGGATTATCGAATTTCAAGAGGTTATACAACAATGGGGCCCCTGTCCCCTTTCTACGTGTTCCCATGTGGACATGCATTTCATGCACAATGTCTTGTTGCCCATGTTACCAAATGTACTGACCCAAGTCAAGTAAGTAGTTTTTTTTATATTAAATATTAGATATTGTGATATAAGTATAATATGAATTATATTGTTTTGTTTTCAAGGCTGAGCATATACTGGATCTTCAAAAGCAACTGACTTTAATGAGTATTGAGCCGAATGTAAATGTAAATGTAAATGGCGGGTTAAATGGTGTTGCTGATGACTCCATCACAAGTGTGGCTCCTGTTGATAAGGTCTGTATAAATTGTCGTTTGTTATCATTACTTTACACATTTTAAACATGATTTTATTTTGTCATTTTTCGAGTTAACTTTTTTAATGATGAACAAACAGATTCGATCAGAATTGGATGATGCAATAGCGAGTGAATGTCCATTTTGTGGGGATTTAATGATAAGTGAGGTTTCAAAGCCATTTGTTTCGCCTGAGGAAATATATTTGGCTTCTTCATGGGATATTATGTCCAAGAATGTTGGACCTGAGAAGGGCATTTCTTTTGTCGTATAGAACACACCATGAGTTTTTTAATTTTTTTAATTTTGTGTGTGTGTGATGTGTTTCTTTCATTTGTGTCGATATGTAGTGTGGGTTTTACCTAATAGAAATATATAAACACCATGATAATTATTGTTCCTAACATGTTATTTAACCTGAGTTGTATTTTGAGTTTTTAAGGCTTATATAAATTGTAGCATTGTTGTTTGCTATTTTATGATGTAATTATTGCATATAGGTTTAAAAAGAATGCGATTGATAGTTCTTCCATTATATTTTTTATAACTCAAGAAGAAAAGGGGAAGTTGTAAAAATAGGGTTTTGTGGTTTTCCATATTTAAGTAATTTCTAAATTTGAATATGGACTTCTATTGTCCCTGTTTAAAATTTGAAGGGAGAAGATTGAAAAAGGTTTTCATATAGCTGAAGCATAAAGCATTTAGTCTCACACATTTAAAAGTTGTAATTTTGATACGAACAGATTTAACTAGGACGAGGTTTAGTCAGGTTAGCTACTAAGCTTAGGGATATTAAAACTACAACAATCGCTAGAAATTCTTTATGGAAAACATTTGTATTATGTTCTTATCACATTAAATCTGGATCCTCATTACTAAAAATTAAAAAAATTAAAAGAAATCATTATCCATCGTTGTCATATTCATAAAAAAATGGTAAATAGTATGTTGGATCCATGCAAAACTTGTTTTCAGGAAAAGTAAATCATGAAACATGAACGTGATTGTAATGGTTTTTGAAGATCGCTACCATAAAAAAACCTCACAAAAAAGTTTCTTCAACAGAAAATCATGAATTTCGTAAAAATATGAATAAATTTACAGTATGCGATATAAACTTCGTTGTACTAAATAAAGCAATATTTATTTTTGGTTAATAGTGACATTTCGCAGTAAATAATTGCATTTCATAATACTATTTTTTTTAATATATATATTTTTTAATGAATAATGGCATTTTTGTATAGCATTTAACACCAAATCCTAGCGAATTCTATGGTTACATTTATGAATTTGATTAATTTTTGTTGGTATCTAATTAAAAAAATAATGGTGTTTTTTGCTTTTACTATTATTATATTAGTTTTATACACTAATGTCAATTCTTTGTTTTCTTTGGATACACCAAAGTCTTGTATTTAAGTGTATTGTCATTTTGTATAACCATGGCCATACCGTACAAGGACAGATGGATGGGTTGCAGAAACGACGGAAAAGGACCACACTAAAATCCAGTGACTCATGCTTTTGTGTCAGGATAAGTTTGACACATGTCTTCATAATTTATCGCGATATTTTCATCAGGTATACTTATGCTTATTAAAACCACATTAAACAAGAAATTATAATTGCTAATTCAACGACTTAAACCCTATATTTTTATTAGATTTTTAAAAGAATAGTATTAGTTAAACTAGCCAGATTATATTTAAAGTAAAAACAAGGTGAAATTCCAGTCATATTTATTTTCAAATACAAAAAAAATACACAAGCTCTAGAACTTTCAAAGAATAACTAACCAATATCTCACGATATAGACTGAACCTCTGGAGATGATGTATTCTGCATCTGAGATTCAGAGTGATTTTGACACCTCCGTCGACAATCCAAAGCGCCTCGAATTCCGACCTCACTCTTTCTTTAACGGAAACCATTACTTCTTAATCTATGGTTTCCGGTTTCATCAAAACTACTTTTCCTCGTATAAATATCGTCCCCTTCGCAATTCATTTTATCAGACAACAAAGCACGATTCACAAATCACAAGAGTTTGACAACATGAGCTTTCTGATCACCCGTGTATGTATGGCCGCCGGAGTTGCTGCTGTCAACGGACACACCGATCAAGTCCACAAAACGAAATCAGTCGTCAACTCCTTTCGGCATGGCAAGAAAGCGTTCGCCGCTTCAGCCGGAGTTGATTCGTCTGATCTCCGGCCAGTTTCCGGGTTTCTGAATGAAGGAGTCGTTGGCAGCGGAAACAGGAAGACTACAGATACCGATGAGTCTCTCCGGCAAGTCATGTACTTCAACTGCTGGGGACCGAGTTAAGGATTGTATTTCGGGTTATTATTGGTTCCCGGTTGGTGATCGGAGTTTTCTCGAAGATTAATGGGGATTTGAGGAATCGATGATGTGAGTTGACTCGTTGTTTGGAGGTTTGGAAGTGAGTCGTTGAATGTAGGGGTTGAGAATAATATTTTCTCAAAGAGAAGAGCCTCAACTGTAAATTATGTTGGCTCTTTGTAACCTTGTCACTTTTTCCCCTCCACAAATGTACAGAATGACAATATGCCAAGAATGCACATTATTAAATTTACTCCCCTTGGTGGAAAAAATACTTTCACCTATTCCAAAAACTTGTGACATGTAAGGGTGTTTGGGTGTTTGGGATTGAATTTGAGAGAAAAAAAAAAGTAAAGATGTTTATTAGCTTTATCTGTAGTAAAATAAAACTTAAAAATATATATTTGAAAAAAGTTTAGATCCACTTAAACGATAGCAAAAAATATTTAAAAAAATTATAAGTTTTATACACTCTTTTATGTTTTAGTAGAATGACTAAAGAAAAACAGATAGAAGAGGAGAAAAAAGGAAGTCAATCAAGTCATATCCAAACATTTTTTTAATTTTTTTTCAAAGACCAATAAATCAATAAATCAATTTAAAACACAATTCCAAACACCCTCATAATTAATTAGATAAACTTAGTAACTGAGAATTTGGAAATAAGTAAATTTGAAGTGGAAGTAGCATGTGAAAGCACTTTGGTTGGAAAGTATGCATTGTCCATGACATTATATATTTTCAATCATTGTTCTCTATATTTTATGTGTGAAATATTTGTTTGATAATTTATAAATGGTCGGATATATTAAGGATCATATATTTTCATTTTCAGGATTAATATGTCTAACATATGTATTTCAAAAATTCAATATGAGACAATTTTTAAGAACATTATGAGTTTCAACACAACAAAGAAAGCAATGTTATAATGTTATAGTAAAATAATTGAATATTTATGATCTTAGACAACAACAAATCTGACTATATCTACTCCTACATCCGAATTTTGGATAAGATTGACAAAAATTATGTTTTTGCAGTTAGAAACATTATGTGAAATATAATTGTCATGTAGCTCGAGTCGCTCGAGTCGGTGGAAAGAATTGATCAGGCTAGCAGCGTGCCAGCCACAACCAGTAGGGCTGATCCTAGCCAATTTGAGGCCCGGGGCGAAATAGAAGATGAGGCCCTTGAAATTACATAATTTTATAATCAAATAATTTCATGTACTAATTCACTAAAATGTACAATTATTTGAGGTTGCTACCGTTTAAAAAAGAAACTTCATCGATAAACGCATGTCTAAAGACTTTCAAGTTTCGATAAATGTATCTTTCTCGATGCATAACATAGCTATGTCATGTTCATAAATTTTCATTCTCCAGGCAAAAAAAGTGAACAAAGCCACTATATTTGTACCACATTAGAGATATACCTAATGGAGGAGGCAAGCCATAAGACACGTCGGCAATTGAGATTGTCATACGGTAAAAAAAAAAAAAGTCTCTAACAACATTTTTAAACGAAAAAGAAAGTTGATTCTGTTTTACATCTAACTGTTGAACTTTATATTAAAATTGTTACCAAGGTAATACCAAATTAATATGAATACAAAAATTTGGTTTCTACAATGAAATTAGCAAATAGGATAGAAATTAAAAAATAAATAAATAAAAAAGGAATGGAAAGGGAATGTTTGCGTCGTTTTGAGAGCCACAAAAAGTATCCCTAGACACCCTTTAATAATTAATAAGTAAAATATATAAAAAAAAAATCAAAACATACTTCTTGATAACTGAGAAGTTGTTTGCGTGAGAGGCACACAACATTTAATAGATTATTAAGTAAAATATATTATTAAAAAATTAAAAGATGCATTAAGCAAGGATCGAACCGGGCATCTACAACATTAATTACTACCAATCTACCATCTCAACTACAAGCATCATATGCTTTTTTACCCGCATATTTTATTTTATATCATAAAAACCGTATATATATACATTAATCGTAAATTTTAGGGGCCCCGAGATTTAGCGAGGCCCGGGGTGGTCACCCAGGTTGCCCATGCCCTAGGGCAGGCTCTAACAACCAGCTTGGTTGTCACCCACTTAGGCAGGGGCGATGCTAAGTGCAACTAAGGTGGGTCTAATGATACACCTAAATTTTTTAATTTATCTAAAATTTCTATAGAAAATTTTTAATGACTTACTTTAAAAAAAATTAGGAACTATCTTACCTATAAAATCTTTGAATTTGTATAGAAAATTTTCTATAACAAAATTAGTGAACCATATAGTAATCTATTCTAGACTCGCCACTGACTTAGGCTGCTAGGCAGTTTGGATATCAGGAAGCATGAGTTGCGCCTGAACAGACCAAAACCTGCATTTTTTTTTCCAATATCCCTTCGTTCTAATTATGTTTTTTTCATTGCATTTTAGGTCTAAAATTAATCACAAAGGGGACCTTGACTCTCTCATTTCACCGTGTTTAGAATCAATTCACCTTATATAAACGTATCCACTCTGCGCCATCAAACTTATATTCGATGAGAACTTAAATCTTCACTGACACTCGTGTTAATTCTAATTACATTAAATGGTCAACGAGATTAAAATTACTAACATTTTATAAATGACCCAACTTTTAGCGAAAATGATTTCAATATAACTTTTATCACGTAATGCACAAATAGGTTTTTTTTTTTTTCTATTACAAGTTATTACATATACTAGTAATTAGCAATTACTGAAAGTCTATAATTTATTTATGAGCAATGAACAGGTAAAATAGAAATTAATCAAATAGATTGAACATGTGAATTTTTGTAGAAAGTTGCCTAAATATATTCAAATCAATATATTTAAAGAAAGCTAATTTAGTATTTTGTAAATTTAGAAATACATCTATCATTTATAAAATTTGGTTTTGGATTACCATTGTACAGAAGAAATGTATGAAGCAAAGTAACTTGGAAACTGGTCATCAGTAATACGTCCAGTGGTTAAAGTTGTAATTTAATCTCAAAACACATAAAATGTCAAACAATTCAATTTTGGTGTATAATAAAAAACTAGAATATTCGAAGCCACAAAGAAAAGGATAAGAACGGGCCACTTTTTAACCACTTGAAATTGATCGTTTGGATATATCCTTCATATTTCCTTTTCAGGTTCAAAGTCTTGTTTCTTCAATTTTATGAATTTTTTACATAAATCCTTTTTATAAACATCAATCATGCTTCATAACCCAACTTTAAAAAGAAAACACTTTTTTTTCTTTTGAGTCGTTCAAATTATTTTTGTTATATAACGTATGTATGTGTTAATGTGTTTGATAAAAATGTTACTTTTACATATACTTTAATTATTTGTAACTAATATTTTTTTGATAAATATTCAAGACAATGATGAAATCAGGTACCTTGCAATTATCGTTATAAGTGATAAACATGTACCTTGATTGAATCTATAATTCATTGTTTTGGAAAAATATTTACATTGTTGTCCCAAAACTTATCTAACTATTACATAAACAACCCCCAATCTTTCAACTATTAACTTTCGCCACATCAGAAATCCTTCATTTACGATGCAGTCCCAAACCCCGAGTCAACTCACATCATCGATTCCTCGTCACCGAGAAAACTCCGATCATCGTCGCATATCTCCGATCACTCTTTTAGCTCTGGCCCCAGCAGTTCAAGTACATGACTTGTCGGAGAGAATCATCCGACTGCTTCATCCTCTCCTCTCCGCCGACGAACCCTCCAACATCAGAACTTACGACGCCGGATAACGGACGGAGATCTGCCGGATCGGCGGAGGAAGTGAAGGCTTTCTTGCCTTGCTGAAACGATTTGATACCTGACTTCAGTTTGTGGCCTTGGTCGGTGTGGCCGTTGACGACGGCAACCCCGGCGGTCATCCAAACACGGTTTAAATAACTCATGTTTGAAATTTGTTGATATCTTCTATCTAAAAACCTCCGGTGGGAAATTTCCGACGAGTATTTGTGTCGTAGGTGAAATAAACGAAGGGTGAAGGGGGTATTAATAGAGGGAGAGGTTCTCTGGTGCTCTATGAAACCGGAAACCGGAAACAAGAAACCAGTTACAGGGGGGAGGTGGTTTTGAGAAGTAACAGTGAAAATTTTGGACGCATTCTATATTTTCTATACAGCGGGTCCCGGAGTGATTGAGTATGTCGTAATGGGTGATAACTCCTTATTTGTCTGTTCTAGTAACTTCCATTCCTGTTCATTTTATAGGATAATAGTAAAAATAGTAAATGATTTTTTTGGGTGGAACTAAATTAACCATCATCTTCATAAAATAATGTTTTGGCATAAATTAATAGCATTTTGGACTATGTGATATTTTCTTGAGATGCAATATAAAATATTTTAAAATATGATATTTTTTATTAGCTGTATAAAAATTTCGACTTATTCTATATGATATTGTATATTTTGAACTTATGTTACTTATATGACAAATCAATCATGTAAGTTTATAAGTTTTTTTATTTTTTGAACTTATTGTATTTATAAGTTTTTTTAATCATATATGGATTAAGGTTTTAACAAAATTATTTCAAGCACCAACATTACACAATTCTTTTGTTAGAAATGAGTTCATGCAGTCAAATCTTGAAAAAGAAAAGGTTTTCTAGCCTCTATATGTATAGTTATAACATGGAAAAATTAAATCTTGGAACAGCTAGCTTACATTAAAATGAATGATATCTATTGGTTTGAGTTCTTTGCATTCATCAGTAGCAACGTGAGATTCATTTTGAATATGACATTAGTTTGTAGTCTCATTTTAAATAAGTGTTCTCATTGATGATCCAATAATTTATTGATTCCATAGTTTCTAAATTGTTTGCTTCAAAGGGAAATACTTGAAAACATCGTGGTTATGGACAGAAACAAACTAAATCTTGTTTCCTTGCCTGCGGAGTGGAAAAACAAAGAGTGAGGAGTCATGGACATGTTTTGATATCGAGAGTGAAAGAATGCATCGTGGATATTTAGAATTTAATCATCATATCTTATATATACAACTTCACTTACATGACCATTAAACATGTCTTCCTAAATACATATCACAAGCTGTGTTGTTAAAAGTTGCTAGTTGAACCAGGACATAATCCATGAGTGAAAATTTATTTTATAAGACACGCAAAGCATACAAAACATGTGATTTGAAGAGAGTGTTGGTTATGATAAATATTAAATAGGAAATGATGTGCTTCTCCATGGTGCGTTATCTTGGGGAGTGTTTAATTGATTCCAAAATCATTATGAAACCAAGCACGTAGAAAGAAAAATAACTTTAAACATTTTAACTATCCCAACATAATTATCCAATTAGAATGCAATATATCAAATATCACAACGATGGGATATTTGATTTTACTATCTTTATTAAAGTTATCCTTTGTTGTTGGAGAGTAATAATCATCAATGTGTTATCTTTAAAGAAATCCACATAAAGCTTGGAAGAGTAGCATCTAGACAAAACCAACTATGATCAAATCTAATTGATAGGTGCATTTATTTATTTATTTTTATAGTTTATTTTAGCATATTTTTATTTATCTTTAGTTAATCATCATACACATTTTACTTTTATTTATTTTATATCTATGTTAGGTACTTTATAGTCTTTGTGTTTAACTTTAGATTTTTAGAAGACTAATTGTGACATCCCCATTTTCACAGACAGAAAAGACCGATTTTGTTTATGCTTTATAAAAATCAGAGTACCTCTTTTAATAAAAATGTTGTGGAATTTGTTCCCAGTAAAACATGATAAATACGTTATCAAAGCATTTCCGAAGAAAAGTATTTTTATTCATTTTAAAACATTTGGGATGTCATCGTCAATACAGAAACATAAGCATAAACAGAACTTACATTCATTATCACTCGTGATTTATATCTCCTTAATCTCTCAGTGTAATGTGACTTCATATCAACACTTGTGATATAAATAAACTGAGTGGGTCAGGTTGGGAAACCTGGTGAGTACATAGGGTTTTCAACCCACAATAAATAAGTTTATTAACTTTATCAAACCAAACAAACCTGATTACCCGTTCCCGTTATCCTCACTTTACGTCCCTAAAACATCTAACACAAGGGACCTAGTCTAAGGGACTTTCATCGGGGTGACAACACATGCTTCGGGGGTTCCTCAGCAATTCATGTCAAATAAGGCAACCATGTGGGGGATGGAGTACTGCTAGTGAGCACACAGTTCAAATAAACACCTACAGGTTGCGAGCCTGCTAGCGTTCCACTGGACTATCTAGAATAGTCTGTGGTCGTCATCTATACTCCGCTAGATGACAAGATCATCAACAACATCTATATCGAGGCCTCTCATTATTTTATTTGGTCACACATCAACTATTACATCTACCCATGTTTTACCCAACACATTTTGTAGATGTAAAATACATATACAATTTAAATCATTTAAAACGTGTATAAAAATATTTCACCCAGCATAGACAGCAAGTATTCAGACAATATGCACACATAGCACGTAATTTATATTAAATACTTCATATCTATGTGTAAGATGAAAGGGACCATGCACTCACTTGATTAGGTGGTGACTCGGTACTTGGACAACACTTCGTTATCTCAAAACAATTTTCCCTTGACAAAACCTAGTATCAATACCACTAGGGTTTAGTCTAACGTTAACCGCGACTAATTAATAGTCTAGCTATTATTATTATTATTATATAAGCGTTTAAACAACACTCTATATAACTCATAATAACAGCTCAAATAATTATTTTAAGGTCCTAATAATGTTACTATATTAAAACATAAGCTATACTAAAGATAGGGTAGGCATAGCTCACTTACAGCGGGTTTTTCGCAAAACCGGGCTTTGCTGGAGCAGCGTTCCCGAGCCGAAAGGCTCTTTTCTCGGGACTCCGGGAGCCTCGGGGCTTCCTTTGGGTGCTAGGGGGTTTACCTAGGCTTAGGGGGGGTTAGGAACCCTTAGAGAGAGAGTGTAGAGAGAGAAAGTTGAAGGGGAGAGGTGTGAGAAATAAAAGAACCCGACACCTCTATTTATAGGCTGATTTCCTAATGGACTCGCCGAGTCGGTTCACGGACTCGCCGAGTCGGTGCCACGTGTCATCACCTAATGGGTTTTCTTGGGGAGAAAGCCTTGGCCCATATTCAGCCACGTCACCCCTTTTGCAGCAGCACCCTGCCGACTTCTAAACCCTGTAACTTTCGCATACGAGCTCCGTTTTCGACGTTCCTTTTTTCCACACGTAGGTAAAAACAAGATCTACAACTTTCATTTAGACTCCATCGGCTAATTCTCGACCGATATTGAATTTAACAGTAGGAGGAGATTAGATTGTTAAATGACCGCGAAAAATTCGTATCTCCTTCATACGGACTCCGTTTTCGTCTGTCTTTTTACCGTTGAGTTCCTATTAACGAGATCTTCAACTCTCATTTAGGTTACGTAAGCCAAAAACCGCTCGAACTAAAATTCGAGTTTCGGGTCGTGCACTGCTATGCCAAATCTTAGAAAATTCATAACTTCCTCATACGAAGTCAGATTTGGGAGTTCTTTTTTTGTATGTTCTCGGTTTAAAGTACACTCCAACTTTTGTTTAGATCACTAAGGCCAAAAGTCTCTAAATTGACTAGCCCAGATCTACGGGTGTTACACTAATATAGAGCGAGAATTGATCGGGAGGTATGTGGGATTTATATGGACTTGTGTCATCAAGAGAATCTAGAGACTTTAGAACTAAGATAGACTCATGTTTGAAAATAGCAAATCTTCTCATGTCGTTAATCAAACAATTAAAATGATTGAAAGTTTGAGTAATAGATTCATTCATTTGAGAAAAGAAGTGCTCATACTTGCGATTTAGATTGTTTCCTCTGGTGGCTTTGACTTCGTTGGTTCCTTCATATGCTATCGTTGACGTATCAAATTATCGATCATCACTTTGGTAGAGATACGGTTCTAAACAAGGTGGTAGACATCATAAGGAAGAGAGAGTTGCCTATTTCAGCGCGAGCTCGAACATTGAGGCTATGTAGGCGCCTATCATCTTCATTAAACCGATGTTTATGAGTTTTCTTAATGACACCAGTCTTCACGCCATCTTTTGTTTCATCAAAGGTGAGAATATATGGACATTTTTCGATAATGTCCAACATATCATGATCCATGGTTTCAAGAACAACCATAGTTTTGTTTTTCCACATGGGAAAGTTCTTTTCATAAGAAGTAGGAATTTTGTTTCCAGGAGTGGTACTAGATAAGAGTTTAGAGTCGAAAGAAGAAGATGAATATGAGGTTTAGTCATTGTGAGATAAAAGTACCTGTTTTGATACCAATCGAAGGATAGAAATAAGAACATAAAATATCAAACAATGACAAGAACATGAAGAGATTAATCAAAAACAAATTTTGATTAAGAAAATCTCTCACAAGGAGAGAGTGCACAGAGAGATGTTTTTACATGCAACCCTAGTGTAACTTATATGCTAGGTTGATGAATATTCTAGATTCAAATCCCTACGTATATCAGGGATTAAAATAACTAAGATAACTATTATATATTAAAGATGTATACTACACAGAACATATCCTATCACAAAGATAACGAATCACGATACTTAACTAACAAGTAATATATCACGTTCTCTTCTAAATGCAATCGAAGGATAGAAATAAGAACATAAAATATCAAACAATGACAAGAACATGAAGAGATTAATCAAAAACAAATTTTGATTAAGAAAATCTCTCACAAGGAGAGAATGCACAAAGAGATGTTTTTACATGCAACCCTAGTGTAACTTATATGCTAGGTTGATGAATATTCTAGATTCAAATCCCTACGTATATCAGGGATTAAAATAACTAAGATAACTATTATATATTAAAG